AAGGAGTTGCTAGGGGATTCGAACTGCCCAACTTTTGGTCAGCAGCCAAGCTCTTAACCACTGTGCCACGAGGGCTCCCGTAATCATAATAGCTGCTGTCTATTGAGTGTTTATAATGCACCAAGCACCATGAGATCATTTTGTCATTTGATTCTCACAGTTCCCTATTTTACAGACATAGAAACAGAGGCACAAAAAAGTGAAGTGATTTGCCCCAGGTACAAACTAGTATTATATGCAAAGCAAGGATTCAAACTCTAATGCCCAAGCTCTGGGCTGGAAATGGCTAGAGTTTGGGCAGTGGGTAGGTGAGGTGTGGCCAAAAGGGTCAGCAAGGTTTCTTGGTTTAGGGAGTGGGGTCTGGGGCAGCCAGAGGGGAGTTCCTGAAAGTGTGGGCCAGGCAGACCACAGGAACAAACTGACTTACTTGCCATCTGCTAGGCTAATGCCTCGGAAGACTGGCTGAGCCGGGGGTTCAGGCTGCCCAGTCTGGTCCTCATATAGGAAGCGGACAGGTTGGCCAAGCTCCAGGCTCAGCTGCCGAATGCCCTGGGCACTGTAGAGTGTCAGGAGGGGAGCCTGGAGGCCAGGCCGGGTCCGGACAACAGTCATCAGAGAGAAATCTTTGGGAATGCCTCCTGGTACCCAAGAGAGACACACACAGGTGACGTGAGAGGCCATGAGAGCCACTGCCTCCTTCCCTGCTCATGTCTGATCCCAGGTTCCACCCCATGGCCTCCCACAGTTCTCCCAACCCCACCATTTCACCCATACCTGGAAAGAGCTGGCGGGTGGGTGCGCTGAGCTGGGCAGGTCGGGAAACTCGGTAGGCTATGTCCGCTGGACAGATGCCTCTTGCCCTCCGGACACCATCAGGGAGGGAGGGGAACCTCAGGGCCCGGAGCACATCCACAGGGGGTGCACCTGGGAGAGTCCGTGAGGGTCAAGGGGAGGGACACACCCTCAGGAGGGCACTAGAAGGGGCACAAGTGGGGGCCTGAACGGATGGGAAACACAGAGTTACCTGGACAAGGGAAGAGCAGCACTGACAGGTAGTCAACTCCGCGCCCACTCCTGCCTCTCCCCTACCAGTGTCCCTCTTTTTCTCTCTCTCTATCTCCATCTGACAGGCTCTGAACCTGTCTCTCTTAATATTTCTCTCAACTCTCCATCCTTCTCCCTTTTTCTCTCTCTTAATCTCTTACTCTTTTTGTCTCTGTATCTGTTGGTCTTTGTGTCTAATTGTCTCTTCTGCTTCCTCCATTTCCCTCACATTCTGTCCATCTTTTTCTTTCCCTGTCTTTCTCTCTCTCAGTCCCTTTCCATATCTCTGGGTCTCTGGGTCTCTGGTCTCTGTCCTGTCTCCAGCACAAACAACATCTGGGCCATGGATCATCCTGGGCACCAGAGGTGCAGGGGGGTGGGGGCACCAGGGAGGGAGCAGAGAGGCAGCTCTCTCGGGAGGGTGCTTCAAGCTACTATAAATCCTGTGTTTGGGGCGAAATGGGGACAATGTTTACCGAGCTGCCAAAGGAGATACAAGAAAGAGCCGCCCCAGAAGCCTGTGCCCCCTGGTTTGGGAGAGGGGCTGGGGGGGGATGGGGGTGGGGAGGGAACTGAAGCTGCCACGCAGAGCCAGAGCAGGTCCAGGGCCCTGAGCCACACATCTGTGGATCCCATCAGAGTCCTTGCCCAAAACCCAAGCAAGCTCCCCACACCTGGAAACTGGACACTGCCCCGCCACCCCCACCACTCCAGGATCCAATGATTCAAGATCCAGGCCACCAGCCCTGTCCACCTAGAACTCAGCTCTCTGGGGCTCAAACTCCCTGAAAGGCAAAAAGCACCTCTCCCTTACTTGCCCCCAGATACACACAGGGCTCACACCATCAGCTCCAGATTGGAAAACTCCCAATGAGAGTTCCAGAAAAACTTTCATAGAAGTGTGGGGCAGGACAGGGGCCAGAGAGATCAGGAGAGCAGAGCTGGGTGGGGTGGGCGAGGTGAGGCGGGCAGGCAGAGAAAAGGCCCTTTGAGTCCAGGAGCCAGGAAACCACGATCTTGCCCCCCCACCCCCACAGCCCCCGCCCAAGCCCGGCCCCCGCGTGTGGCGGCTCCGCAAACACCGACACACAAGGGCTGCTTTGAGAAACGGGGAGCGAGTGAGACAGAGACATAGAGACTCACAGAGACCCCAGGCCAAGGAGACCTCAGAAGGCCCCCACCCTCCACCAAACCCCAGGAAAGTACAGCTTGGTCCTATAGACGACTTATTAGCAGGTCCGCCCACAGCCCTCCCACCTCAGGCCACATACCTGCCTCACTGTCCCCAGCCACCCTACATCTGCCTTACAGACTCCCCACTGGGAGCCCCATCACCTCCACTACTTTACCTCTGGCCCCAAATATGCCTCATTCTTTAATCTTACTAATTCCAGAGTGACCCATTTCCCTATAGTGTCCCACCTCCACTCACCCAGTCCCAAAATAAGAAACAGGATCATCTTGGCCATCCCCCTGCCTCCATGCCAGTGGGTCTCCTTCCCCAAGAAAGACTGCAGACATATACACTTAAATTCCCTGTCCCTGGGTCTCACACTCCTCTCATCTTGGAAGTTCTTTCTGTAATCAAATCTAACTCCTTTATGCTGCCATTCAGACTATTTTCTCTCCAGAGGATGGAGAAGAAATGAATAGTCAAGTTATATGCAAATCAGCCCCCAGTGTTTCCAGTGGGGGAGGGGGGGCTTGCTCAGGCCTGCCTAGGATCCAGGTGCTTCCAGCCCCCTCCTCTCTGACACCAAATCCCTTCTCCTATGAGCCAGGACTTCTGGGTCCTGGGAAAAAGGAGGAAAAGATTGGGGTCGTGGTCACCAGGTCCCAGGGGAGCCTGGCTGGCCAGAGGGGGAGGGGTGGGGCAGGAATGCAAAGAGTTGGCTCCAGCCTCAGACACCTGATCCCAGCCTGTCCAGCGGCCGTCCTGTTGGCAGCCGGCCCCAGTGCTCCCCAGAGCCAGCCGCGTGGCAGCATCGAGGGCACAAGAAGGGGGAGGGGGATGCAGGCAGAGAAGCGAATGGGACAGATAGTCGAGGCGTCCCTTCCTTCCCAATTTACTAGTCTACTCTGACCCACAGACACCCTACTTGCCACAGGGATACAGATTCAGAGCCCAGAAATAGACAGTCCACACACACATCTCACCCATCACCACTGGTATCTACCACTTCCACCCCCATCCTAGTACCAGGTTGGACCAGATTGGCCCTGGCCATCTTCAGCTCTCCCTGAGGACCAAACACCCAGCCCCTTTCCAGGCTCTCTCTCTAAGGTGGTCCTCTACCTTTCAGCCTTACCTGCCCTCCCCCTGTCACCTCAGGGAGAGAAAGAGCTTCCTACCTGGCTCCAAGGAACCGGGTATCCTGCCCTACAGCCTGGACCCTTGACGCCCCTCCTCATCCCTGGGCCTCAGCTGTCCCCTCCCCAGGGACCTGAAGCTTGCCTCCAACGACCCAGCGAGAGTCAGGACTCTTACCTGCACAGGCTGGGGCTGCGCTCAGCCCCAGCACCAGAGGTACGAGCAAGAGGAGACGATGGCAGCGGCTGCACCGCTCCATGGCTGGGCGCCCCGAGGCCGACAGGAGAGAGCCGGCTGGGCCTCGGACGCCCGGGGTCTCTGGGAGGTCAGAGGCTATCGGGCGGCGACAACTCTCAGCAGCCCAGCTCCATGCAGCGAGGCGCCGTCGGGGCTCCGGCGCAGCTCCCTCCTCGGTGGCCGCTGCTGCTGTGTGTCCCCGGCCACCCCGGCTGCCCAGAGCCCCCACCTCGCCCCCGCCCCCGGCCCGGCCCCCGCCTCCAGCCGCCCGCCCACTGCCACTAGGGGAAACCCCACCCTCAGGCTCCACCTGGGGCGGGGGGTGGGGGGGCGCTGAAGGGAGAAGCCCTCCCTCCCTCGCTGACCCTCAGACTGCTCTCCCTGCGCCAGGCAAGCCTCAATAGACTGTACCCTCAGATTCTCTTTTCCGGAACCCCGGTATCTCATCCCCAGCCCCTTCCTTTTCTAGGACCCTGACGTCCAGTCGCAGCACCCCCTCCCTCCGTGTTGGAGATTAGCTCCCCTTCAGCCGTGGCCTGGGCGGGATTTAGGACGCCGTGGGGGTCGCCGCCCCCGCCCCCTGTACTCAGGCCTCCATAATTACTTCCCCTTGCCCCGCCCGAGGTAATTACAGAGCCAGGCCTCGGGCGGGGGTATTTATAGACGAGGCTATACACAGCGACTGGAGACCCGCAACTCGACGCAACCCTACGGCTGGGCGGGGTGGGTCTGGAGGGGGGTGTGGACGGGCGGGGAGGCAGACTGGGACAGACAAACACAAGCTAATCAGGCCCAAGGTGATGAAAATGTGAAAATGGGGGAACTAGGTAACGGAGTACGGGAGCCCCAGGTGAAGATACTGATACTGTGGAGAGATGAAGGAGCAGGTGGCAGTTGGTAGGGTCCAGGGAAATAGGGTCACTCAGGGACATGGGACTGCCTCCAGGTGGGCAGTGCCCCGAGAATGTCGCCACACTCGGCGCCCAGTGTGGCCCGACGAACGGGCACCGCGCCGGGTCTGCCCGGAGCCCGCGGCGCAGCCGGAGAGAAGGCTCAAGCGAGCCGAGGCGCCGCCGCCCGCTGGCCCTAAGACTGCACAAGCGAACAAGGCGCCTTTGAGAATTAGCCACCCCACTTTCCCCCCAGC